GATACGAAGAGTGGCTCCTATCTACGACGGCACGGTGCACAACTTTCACGAGTGGGAATTCCGCGCAGGGATGCGCGCGAGCGCCGCCTTGGCCTCAGTGGATCAAGAGACGGGTGCACTACAGCAGCGCGCGATCACCGCAGCTGTCAACAAGGTTGTAGAAGGCCTCAGACGTGACGCATTCGATATTGCCATGGATATCGGTAAGGACATGCTTCTGGCTGCGAATGGGATTCACTCTTCCCCATAAAGGCACGGGGAGCGGAGGTCCTGTCCCAGGTAGGCCAGGGACCATATGGGCCACTGTCTCGGCAGAACGGTGAGTCGATGGTCTCGTGCATCTCCCGAAGGAGGCGCGGAAACTTGTCTCGAAGGTAGACCCTAAGATCTTGATGAGCGACGATGTGCTTGGCTCCCTTCTCTTGGGCCATGCAGGCCTCTCGCCTTCGGAGATTCTGATGGTGTTGACGTTCGCAGGATTTGTGACAACCTTCGATCAGATGAAGGGCGACTCGATCCTCCAGCTCTTCGACCTGGGCGCAGCCCAGACCCAGCTACCAGAAAAGCAGCAGGGGCAAAGGCAGGGCGCGCTTCTCCAAGCCACAACACGCCTTCTACACCGCTGATGATGGACGGCGCGGGCAGGAGGGGCATCACCCTGAGGAGCTGAGCCCCTACGGGCGCTGCGCGCCCGGCCATGCGCCGGGGCGCGGCCGGGGCGACGCGGCCCGGGGCGACTGCGCCGACGAACGCGCCTACGTCGACGAGGAATCGCACGCTCGCTGGGCCCCTGCCCAGGACAGCAGCGAGGTCGACGTCGAGGCGGTCGACGAGAGGCTGGATACGCGGAGGAAGAAACTTCTGACGCGATCCCGGAGGACCTGGTCGCCGACCCCGGCGCCGAAGGGAGGGGCAAGGGCAAGGGGGGGGGCGGAGGCAAGGGCCACCACTGCGCGCCCCGGTCGCCCAAGGGAGGCGGCAAGGGAAGACCTTCCCGTGGAAGGTCGCAAGAGGCGCCCCCAGGATATCAAGAAACGCTCAAGATGCAAGACCAGCCACGAAACGGGCCACTGGTCCGGGGGCCCTCACTGCAAGGGCACGCCCAGGGCGGCGACGGTAGCGCTATCTGGATACACTGGCAAGCGCCATTTCCAGATGCGCGAGGACGATGGCGAACGAGACTTCGCATCCGTCAGTTTTGTCGCTGCATCGCCATCAATCCCTCAACATCTCATTAGGGGCAAGGAGGAGACAATGAGGATGGATTGTGGTGTTTCTCGTTTCTGCTCTTTTTTCTCCTCTCGCGTCGCGCGGGCGTGCGTGGGCAGGTGGGCCCAAAAAGCGGCGCTGGACCGTGGACTGCGCAACAATGGAGAATTGCTGCAATGGTTTAAGAGTCAAGGGATCGACCTCCGCGACGCCGGAGTCGAGTCTCCCGGGCAGATAGGCCGCGCTGAGAGACGCGGTGGACTTTGGAAGAACATATTCAAGAATGTGGTGCACGACAATAACGTTTCCGAACTCGATGGAGTCATCTCTACTGCATCAGAAGTCGACAACACGAAGAATAAGATGTCACGATTCGGACTTGCGCCTGCTCAGTGGGCACTCGGAAAGATGCCTCGTGCCCCACGGCCCAGGGAGTCAATTCGACGACGAGGATGGTTTCGACTTAGGAGTGCTTGCGAATGTTGCAGAGGGCGGAGCCGACGAGTTTTCTCGCCAGGCTGCGATCCAGGCGCCCGCCAGCAAAACGCTCTCGGAAGTAGGGCGACAAGGGCCGCTCTCCGAAGGGCGGCACCACTAGCTGAGAAATGTCTGGTCGGCGATGAAATATGATTTCGCGAGAGGCCGACCGACGGCGAGGTCACCGCTAAGTGGAGCCCTGGTTCCCGCATCGTTGGATTCGATGGCAAGAACGCACGGATAATCGCAGAGGGTGCACCTGTCTGCGCGGCTGTCGACGGGCTTCGACCGGGTACAGGGGCGGAAACATTGGCTTACCAAAATCTCTCTAGGCGCCATGGCGGTGGCGCTGAGAGGTGCGCACCTCCAGACGGGCAACAGCAGTGTTTCGTGGACGAGCGACGCGACATGCCAGAGCCACGGGCGCAGGGGCATTTTGCGGAAGAACATCCTGTGGCGACGGAAGAGCCGCCAGGGACCCCAGAAGACACCGAGTTCACAGAGGAAGCAGTTCGCCAAATGGAGGAAGAAAATGAACTGTCAGATCGAATGATCCTTCCTGTGCCGCCCGCGTCGAGGTCGTCACAGGTGACTCGAACGCCTCTTCAGAAGTCGTTACTGGACGACGCCCCGCACGGTATACAGAGTCGCAGCGAACTGGTGCGCCGAAGAGTCGAGAATGCCCATGGTAGTACAGGAACGGTTTCCGATTCTGTCTCGGAGCCAACTCCCAAACCAGCGAACCCACTTCCTGAGGCCATGCGCAGGGCCGGAATATCAGGGCCGGACATGGAGCTTTTAGCTCGTAGAGAAGCTTCACTCGCTGTTAAGCCACATGAATCGCTTGTCGGTTTCTTCAATGAACGCACCGTTCAGAAGCCGCAAAGCAGAAGCTAAAGAGTGCAACTAATCTGGTATACCATCGGGAATCTGAAGACGCTGAAAACGGTTTACAACCGGCAAGGCAGGACGAATGGGGATCATGGCGGAAGTCTAACGCCGCCGTACCCATTGATTCCGTGGAACTGCAAAATCTCCTCGAAGAAAGATATCGTATGATACCTACGCAATGGATTGAGACTGGCACGGCTGAGCATCTCAGTGTACCTGGTGGGCCTCCAGTTGCACCGCAGTGCAAGACTAGACTTGTCGTACGTGGAGACCTGGGAAGAGTCGTTGGGTACGGATTCACCAACATGCGAAGTCGAATGGCGAATATTGATAGTATCATGGGCTGCTGGTGGAAAGAAGATGCTCAAGTGTGCCGACATTACGTATGCGTTCTTCCAGGGCAGGAGCTCGACCGTCTGATGCTGCTCAAGTCGCCGCCCGACAGACTCGAAAAGGGTACCGGATGGTGGAGCAATGATCGAGCGTATGCCCGTCTATGGCACGCGTGACGCAGGACGAGGAATGTGGAAGAAAACTCGCAGAAGGTTTCAAGCTCATGGTCTGAAGGAGACTAGTATCATGCCTGCCTTGTTCAGCATCCAAAAAGACAAGAACGATATCATGTGTATGTTAGGTCACATGTGGATGAAATATTGTGGGCTGCAGATGATAAAGGAAAGAAAATCATCGACTCGGTATCAACAATATTTGATACTCGCGAGACAAAGTCGGACAATTTCCGTTCTTGCGGTCTAGAAGCTGTTCAAGATGAAAATTTCACTGTGAATACCACGACCAAAGACAATATTGAAAACATCGAAGCTGTATCCTGTCTTAGGGACAACCCCCATACTCCCTTACGAAAAGACGCAATGAGAACGAGACAGCACAGCTTAGATCAATATTCGGTGCATTGTCGTGGGTTACACGTCAGACTGCAGTGTGTCACGCTAAGGTACTTCAGGTCAAGGAAGCCAAACGTGTATTAGAAGAAGCAATTCAGTCCGCTGACTGCGGGTTGGTATTCAAAGGTGGAGCTGTTAACTTGAATCAATATCTGATACGTATTACTGTTACTGACGCCAGCTGGGCAGGAGAAGAGGATATAGTCAAGGGTGGAATCGAGCCTTTCAGGTCGCAGAGGGCTACGCGCAATGGACTCGCAGGGCCTGGATTCATCAAGGGGAACACTGATCAGGTTCACCCTATATGTAAACCCAGTAAAGTTATCAACCGAGTATGTAAATTTACCCTACAAGCAGAGACCCTGGCTTGTTTATGGGGTGTCGAATCTGGTGTACGCATTCGTGCCACCATCGCAGATGCGCGTGGTATGCTTGGCGCAGGAACGAAGCTACCATGCAAATGGGAAAACAAATCAACCATGCCGATCAGACACTTATGGATGACGGATTGTGAAAGCTTTGAAGAACAGTTCAAAGCACAAACTATGGGTAAGACAGAAGCTACGCGCTTGAGTATCGATTCGAATAGCTTAAGACAAGATATTTGGAGTAATGAAAAGGAAAAGTCGAGATTTTACATCCACGCACATTTTGTGGTAAGATCAGATGGACCCATACAAGCATTATGGCTGTCGATTGTCAGACGAAGAATATGCCTACACATTTCCTTGTTCAGATCTTACGTGCAAGTTCGTATGACTTAGCTCCAGACCCTGAATCTACCTTGAAGAAGGTCAAGAAGCAACTGGCGAGGGCCGAGATGAGTGCTATCCCATCGGGGCAGTGAGTGAGTAAGTCCAGACTGCCTTTGACTTGAGCGATCCCAACATGGGGCTACTCCCTTTACTGCCCGTAGAGGCTTACTGAGACCAGCGGTACTGCGCAGTCTACCGGCTAGCTCGTGATAAAATTCACGGGTGTGTGATAGTGCATGTGTCACGTGTGTAAATGCACCACTCGCTGCCGTTTGACCTCTAGGGGCCCCTTTTTGCCATTGCGCTAAAAAGTATCACGTTCACAGCGATATATTAAGAATGTATGCGCTGTGCTGTGCTATCAGTCGGAACAAGATTGGCCGTAGGTGTCTGACGAGAGCCGCTGCAAGGAACAAAACGCTAGCGTGCCCACAGGCCCCAGAATACCGAACCCTCGAAAGCACAGGTACAGTGTACGAGTCTCGAACTTACCACCGGAGGCTTCGCACACCTGTCTGACCCTGAGTTCGTCGGCACCATAAGTGACGCGAAGCGCAGGAAGGATGCAGCGCATAATGAAGCAAACCATGCCAATTCTTGGAGCAGGAAACAATACGGCGGCAGACGGGGAGGAGGAGGTGGAGTAGGAGGATGAAGAGGCGGAGGAGGATGAGAAGGCGGAGGAGGAGGAGGACGGGACGACGACAACGAAGACGACGGGCGGACGACGACCAGGACGACGACGGCGACGACGATGGGCGGCCTCGATGGTGGAGGCAGAAGTGCGGCTTCCTTCACCACGCCCCTCTCTTGCTGGGCACCCTTGGGAGAGCACAACCGTTGCACCGACGCCGTTCCTGGGCCCAGGCCCCAGCCCTCTTCCTTCTCCTCCTGCTGCTCCTACTCCCCTCATTACCAAACTCCTCCTTTCTCGTGTTCGCGCTGGCCATGCTGGACCCGTTACTTTCACTACCTTGCTCATCCCCTGCTCATCATCCTCCCTCATCATCCTCCTCTTCCACCTCATCCCCATGCTGCTTCCTACTCCCCCTTCATTATCTCATACCTTCCTCCTGACTCCTCCTCTCTCGTCCTACGTATTCTCTTCGTCCTGCCCCTCCTCATCCTTCTCCTCCTCCTCTTCAAATTCTTTCTCCTCATCCCCCTGCTCACTCTCCTCTTCCCATCCTGCCCATCCCTCCTTGTTGCCCTTTTCCTTTTAACCAACCCCGACATTCACCCCTCTTCGCTCCTCCTTGGTCATCATCCATCTTTGTAAGGCCTCCATACTTCTGATCACGCTGCTTGTCTCCCATTGCTCGACACTCGTTCTTCACTTCTTTCAGGCCTCGATACACATTCCTCCTCGCTGCTTCTCTCTCACGCCTCCCCTCGCCGTAATCCTCCTCATCCTCCTCATCATCCTCATCCCATCCTCACCATCATCATAATCATCATCATAATCATCATACTCATGATCAGCATCATCATCAGCATCAGCATCAGCATCATCAGCATCAGCATCATCAGCATCATCATCATCATCAGCATCATCCTCATCATTTTCATCGTATCATCATCAGCATTGTCATCATCATCGTCGGCGTCATCATCATCACCAGCATCACCACCATCCTCATCATCATCAGCCTCAGCATCATCATCATCAACATCAACATCAGCATCGTCAAATCAACATCATCATAAACATCACCGTCATCATCATCATTACCGTCAGCATCATCAGCATCAGCATCATCAACATTCTTATCATCAGCAGCTTAATCATCGACAGATGTATCAACAGCGTCACCACCGTCATCAAAATGGACCTCATCACCAGACGCCCCACCACAACCAGCCATCATCTTCACCACCACCACCACCATCATCATCGACATCGTGATCGTCATCCTCACCATCATCATCGTCATCATCAGCAGCATCAGCATCAGCATCATTACCATCATCATCAGCATCATCATCATCATCTGCATCATCATCAGCATCAGCATTATCAGCAGCATCGGAATCGTCATCGTCATCCTCATCGCCATCACAAGCAGCATCAGCATCAGCATCATCAGCATCATCATCAGCATCATCAACATCATCATTATCAGCAGCATCGGAATCGGCATCGTCATCCTCATCGGCATCACAAGTATCACCAGCATCAGCATCAGCATCATCGTCAACATCGTCACCAGCATCATCATCAGCATCATCATCACCCACATCATCACCTGCATCATCATCATCACCATCATCATTCGTTATCGTCGCCATCATGAGCATCAACATCAGCATCATCAACCGTACCACCGTGGCTAGCATTAAAGATGTCACCACCAGCAGCAGCAATATCGTCATCATCAGGATTCTCATCCTCACCTTTATCGTCGCCATCAGCAGCAACAGCATCATTTCCTTCATACTACCCCAGATGCCCGTCCTCTTCCTCCTCCTCCTGTTTCTCCTACTCTCTCCTGCTCCATCCTCTTCCTCCTCCTCCTCCACGTCCTCCTCCTCCTCCTCCTCCTCTTCCTCTTCCTACGTTCCCTGCCCTCCTTCTCCCTGGCTGCATCAATTCCCCCTGCGGTTTCCTCCACCTCCTGTCACATCCTCATCCTCCTCCCTCCTCCCTCCTCACTCATCGTCTCCCCTTCCTCCTCGTCGACTCCTCCTCTACCACCTAGCCATAGATTGATCATCCGCCTCCTCCTCCTCCTCATCATCATCATCGTCACCATCATCAACTCCAGCATCTTCATCATCATCATCATCACCACCCTCATCATCATCATCATCATCATCATCATCATCATCATCATCATCATCATCATAAGCATCACCATCATCACCATCATCATCAGCATCACCAGCATCATCGTCAGCATCGTCATCATCATCAGCAGCATCATCATCGATACAATCAACATCATCGTCATCAACATCATCATCAGCACCAGCATCATCCTCAGCATCAACATCAACATCGTCATCATCATCGTGACGCCCCCCCAAGCCAGGACACGAATTTTGTGTCGCGGGCCAGGACGGTCCGGCAGGACAGAGCGGCACTCGGGCAGGGCTCGGCAGCAGAGAGGGAGAGAAGGACGAACAGCAACATAACAACACCACACGACACACACCACACAACACACAACAACAACGAACGAGAGAGAAGAAGAGAAACCCAACTTACCCCGAATGGGCTTCTGGTATGAACCGCCAAATGAATTTATAAGCCGCCGGAGACGGCATGATTGAAGATTGCTTATGTACTGCTCGAAGGCTCGGGCAAACACCCTACAAAACCGGACAAACTAAGGCTCAACAGCTCGCGTCCACAATTTGCCCGCACTTCTGTCAATTCCGGTGAGCACGGTGTGTCGTTCCTCTGCAAAACAGCACACGCCAAAACGCCCCCGACAGAGACTCGGGAGCTTGATACTAAAACCTGATCCCCAGAGCTGAACCCGAGTACGTTTGCGCCACCTACAACCGAAGGCACGCGAAACCTGCCTCCTGCAGGGGCGCGCAAGCTGAGGAACCTGCAACACGTACTCGGGCTCTCGAGGGCCACGGGGATTCGGAGGCGGCAGCACGTACGGATAAGTGGAAGAGAAAATTTGAGCTGCGAATTTCCCCGGCGACAGGCTTGGAGGGACCGTCCTTCAAGGTTCGGGAGACCCCGAAGGTGGGCATAATTTGCATGGCGGCGCCAGCTGGGCCCTGGAGGTCCGTGCCGCGCTTGAGACCAGGAGCAAAAGGGCGCGCCCATCCAGAGACCGACGACGACCCCCCCAGTGATCCAGCCCCTCACGGTCTTCTGGACACAAGCCCGGTCTAGATCAAACCACGGGCGCCAAAGGACACCTACAAAAATGACCCCGAATTCAAGGCCACGCGTGGCCCTTGATAGGCCGGCTTGCCCGGCATATAATTCAAGGAAAACCTGCCTTCTGAAAGACGAGGAGCCAGAAAGGGCTTGCCTCAAAACTCGTCGCATTATGATTCGAACCTGGTCGTCACTCAGCTGACCTTCGGACGACGCGGTGGCATCGGTGGCGTGAGCACCGCGTCGCTCCTTCAGCGGCCTCTTGAATTGACCTCGAGGGCCGAGCGGTGCCGGCGCCGAAAGTTGCGCGCGGCGTCGCTCGGCCTCGGGCCGTAGACTGCCATGTCAGGCCCAAGCCCTCGAGACCGAGGGCCTCCGCGGACGTCAGCCTCTGCCTGAACAGGTCGTTCCGCGGGGCACTCCAAATCCGATCGTTCGGGGACTTGCGCGTCGCCTTGAGGACCGCCAGGCAGTCGTAAAGGTACGGGATGCCGTCGAGCACTGTGCTCTCGACGAAGGCACCCACCTTCGTCGGAGATCCCAGCTCCTTCTGCCCCACTTGCAGGGCCCGCGTCTGCTACCCGAAGCTGGCGCCCGTCCTCGGCAGGATCCGCTGCAGGCCCCTGGTGGCGTCGCACTTCTCCAGCCGGCTGTGGCCGCGGAGCGCCCGCAGGGGCGCGATGGCGCGCCCCGGCAGCCCACTCGCGACCATGTGCCCCGCCAGCCCAGCAGCCCGCAACCACGGTGCAGGCATCCAGGTGATGCGGGGCACCACCTCGCTCCAGCCCCCCAGCGCCTGCGCCGCGCGGGGGGGGGGGCTCTGGGCGCCGTGCCGGCCGACCCCTGGTTAGAAGAACCCCGCCGCCGCCAGAGTCTTGCTGGCTACGTCGCTCAAGCAGCCCAGGAAGAAGAGGCGGCCCCGGTACTCCACCAAGGCCTGGTCGAACCCCCCAACGGCCACCCACGTCGCCGACGTCTGGGCGGCCCAGGTGAGGACGATCACCAACCGCTTCTGGCAGTCGGTAAACGTTGCCTTGGCCACCGACCGAAACTCCAAGAAGGTGGGCAGGAACGAGCCTGGGGGGGGGGCATATCTGCTGATGGCGGATGGCATCGGGCCCTTCTCGCGGCTGCAGCCCCTGTCGACCGCGTTGCTCCCGGCATCTCCGCCCGGGCCACCGCCGCCAGCCTCGGCGAGGTCGTCTCGCGCGGGTGGGACCTTGCCGAGGGGCGGGAAGCATGGAACGGCTGGAAGGTCAGCCCCAGCAGCGCCAGCAGCCAGACCAGGGGGGCCGCCCACATCGCCCTGCGACTTGTGGAAGTAGAGTCCTCTTGAAGGGTTGTCGGCCGGGTTTCTTGCGGACGGGGCACAGCGAACGCGCACCTGAATGTCACTGGCGAGAGTGAGCGCCGAAATCTACCTGAGGATATCTCGCAGCTGGAACGCGGCCGAGCGACCCTTCCCAGCCGCGAGGGCCAGGCCGAGGTTGTCGGCAAAGAGCAGTAGACGATGGCCGAAGGCCCCTCGATCGCGAAGGAAGTGGCGAACCGAGTTAGACAGAGCGAGCCCCTCAAGCCGAAGAATGTTCACCGGGCCCCGCCACTGAAAAGACTCGACGATGCGCCAGGCCTTGGGGCAAGTGAAGTCCTTGTCTATCATGTCGAACGCCCTGGCGCGCTCCTCGGCCTGCTTCAGGCTGTCCGGCAAGTCGCCCTGGCTGGCCGTCACCTTCCGTGCCAGCTGCGGCTGGTGTGCGCGACCAACACGGGGAAAAGGTTCCTGACGTGATCCAGCTCCCCCCTCACGGAGGTCCACAGAGTGCGCGTCTCGCTCCCCAGTATCTCGATGAAGGGGCGAACGAAGCTGAAGATCGACAACGTGGACCTCTGCGCCATCAGGGCCCGCGCGGCGTGTCCCACGACTATCTCCAGCACGTGCCCAGAGCAGACCCACGCCTCAGCAGTTCCCCGATGGCGAGCCGTAGCCGCCGCATCCGCCTTGTGGAGATCTTGATCGCGCGCCCCTTGCCGTCGAAGCTGAGGCCCGCGATGTCTGTCTGGCACGCGGCCCCGTCGGTCTCCTCGTGGACGACAAACCCCTGGGCCCTCAGCGCGGAGGCGACCGACTGCCCGCCGGCCGCGACTCGCTCGCGAGGCCCCCCCATCGCAATGCAGTTGTCCACATGGCCCGCAGCGGCCAGCGGCCTCGAAGGCCCCAGCGGCGTCGCGGCCTCGCGGTCCTTCACCAGAGCGCCTGGGCCATGCCCGCCCCGGGAGATGCCCTCCTCGGTCACCAGCTGGCAGATTGCAGCGCCCAGCTCCACCCCGCGGGCAGCGCGGTCGGCACCGGCGCGCGCGCGGCGGCGCCGGCAGAGCCTCGAAGACCCGCTGCGCCACCTCGCACGCTAGGGGGCCTGAAACTCGAGCCGAGCTCCTAGTGCACCTCGATGGCGTAGAACGCGTTCTGGATGTCACCCGAGCTGCACCACACCACGTCGCACTTCTGGCTCCCCATCTCGGCGAACGCCCCAGCTGATGGCAAACGGTTTGAAGGAGGTGCCTCGAAGTCGCAAGTGGCGAGGCGGGTGCCAAACATGACCCTCGTGCCGCTTCCAATTGATGTCGTAGGCGGAGCGTGCGGCAGTCCGCATTGTCCGCCACGCCGGCGTCCACCCCGGCGGCGCCGCCCGCTCCTGCATGGCCCAGCGCAGGGGCCAGCCAAGGCCGCGGCCAGGGCGGCTCCCCCGCCGCCCGCGGCGGCTGGGTCGGCCGCAACCACGGCTGGCGGAACCTGCGCGCCTCCGCCACCTGCCGCGGCCGCGGCGCCCCCCGCGCCAGCGAGCAGCCCCGCAAGGCCACCCTGTGCCCCACCTGCGAGCGCGAGTCCCCCAGCCAGGAGGCCCACGGCGGCGGGCGCGGCGGCTCCGGCGGCGGCAACAGGCCCCGCCGGCACGACAGCGGCGACCGCTCCAAGAGCAGCATCGTGCCCAGCAGCAAGCATGTGCCCAGCCTGCTGCATGAAAACCTGCATTTCGGCGGCGGTCGGGTACACGGCGAACTCGTAGCGCCGGAGGGCCACTGCCGCCGCCGCAGGGACCACCTCGCCATCGCTCCTGAACAGGAGTCCACGTAGAAGCTTCCGACACCGCAAATCATCATTGTCTTCACTGAAGAACTCAACAAAGACGTCATGATCTGGAGAAGCCGCAGCAGCGTGATGAGCGTCCCCCTGAGATACCCCGACGACGATCCGAGAGTGCAGCAGCGGAGCGCCAGCCAAATCATACCCGACCAAGACTTCATCGCCAATGTTACAATATTCATTGCCTGACTGCCGGCGTGATGAACCCGCGTCCGCCTGGCACCCGCCGATCACCAGCGTGCGGCTTTGACCCGCCCTCCGAGGCGTCCACGAGAGCTGGCACGCACGCGGGACGGCGCGGCCACAGCCTCGCCAGCACCGCCCGAACCCGGGCCACGCCGAGCCGGCAGAGCTCCCACACGAGGAGCGTGAAGACGCCGAACGAGACCTCGACGACCCAGTTGAACTCCACCAAGGCCGGCTCGGGGCACGCCGGGCAAGGGTCAGGGCAGGCGGCCAGGTGCAGCGGCGGGCAGGCAGGAAGGCACGCCTCCAGCTCCGCGCACAGCTACTGGGCCAGCGCGGGGGTGGGTGGCGCGGCGGCCGCCAATGAGCCCCGCGCTGGCGGGGCGGGCGCTGGAGCCGCAGGCGCTCGCACCGGAGGTTGGGCGCTCGGAGCACAAGAGGCGGCCCAAAACTGGCCGACCCAGGCGGAGCCCACGTGGAAGGCCAGGAGCACCGCGCACTGGCCTGCCGCACGCATCCAGGCCCAGGACGCGGCAGTGTTCGGAGGCCTCCCTACGGAAAAGACTTGAGCCGGGGCAGTTTCGGAGACACTGCGCGGCCTTCAAACGCTCTACGATTACTGTTCTAGAACTGCCCATCATCAGCATCATCCCCCTGGCCCTGTTTCTATCATAACCTTTCGTGCTTCCTGTATTATCCTGGTACGCTGTTTCTCATCCTCCTCAAATGCGTGTCCCCTTTCCCCATATTCTGCCCCCCCGCCCCCTTTCACGTTCCCACTCCCTCCCTCCCTCATCCTGTCCCTCCATTCTCCATTCATTTCATCATCCCTTTCATCATTCTTCTCCGGGCTGGTCGGGTTTGGTAGCGGTGCGCTGTGGTCCTCCCCTGACCTTCCAGTCCCAGCACCAGGTCAGAACGACGCACGCCACCAAGAGCAGGGCTCCAACTGCAAGCGCTGCCCCGAAGTACGGCCACTGGTCTCCTGCAGCTTCGCGATGGGTTCACGGTCGTTTTGCCATCCTGTGGACCACGGGGTGGGCTGCCTTTTGGGCTCTTTCGGGTGCTTCTTTGGGCGTTCCCTCGGGGGACTTTACGGTGTCGGACTGGCGTCGTCTCAGGCTCTCTCGGAGCCCCCTGGGGCCCCTAGAGAGCCACAAACAAAAGACCGAACAGACTCTCCCCACCTAGAACAAATCCACTGGCCCACCTAAGGGGCCTGAAGGCCTGGTCTCATCTCGTGGCATTCGCGTAAGCATTGCCCCGATAAGCCTGCGGGAGGATGTGCGAGGCGTAACCTCGAGCCCCCTCCCCCGGTCCCCCCCCCCAACGGCCCTCAAGATATTAAAAGGCTACGAACCTGGGTTGTTCCGAAGAGTCATGCCCTCACAAACTGTCGCAAGCAATCCTTCATTCACATAGCCCCGACCCCGGGAAACCGCGGTGGTCTGGCACTCTGGGAGGCATCCCAAGAGACCTCGATATTAGATCTAAGAGGGCGGGCCGATCCCAAGAAACATTCTAAGCATCTAAAAATTCTAAGCATCTAAAAGGCCTCTGGTCCACAGCCAGGCATTGTGGCACGTAGGACCAAAGGCCGCTGAATATACTGATATAAAGTTAGCTCTGGGCGCGGAGAGGGTGTGTTCAGTTGCTCGGAGGCCCCTTCGCCCTTCAGATGGCTAAGCGACCATGGCGATTGCTGCCTGACCAAGTCACCTCAGGCCTCGCCCCCGAGTCGGGCGCGTCACCCACAGGGCGCTCAGAGAGCCGCTGGCTCGCAACCAGCTCGCGGAAGGACAACACGAGACAGGCACAAGCTAGCCATACGGAAAGAGAAATGGTCATTGTGCATTATACGTTTATGCGGAATCAAAAGAAAAGTACAATTGTACGGGCCCGGAAGTGATCTCGGGACGGCTGCGGCAACGCATGTTAACAATATTCGACTGATCCAGGCAGACCCCTCCCAGAAAGTCGAAACTCGGGCATCTTGTGGACGAAAACCTGAGCTGCAAGATGAGCCTCATCCAGCCACGACAGCACACCCCGACACCCATGGGCAAAACACATCATACGGCATATACTGGGTATGCCCGTGTAAATGCATACACCTATACAGGTACACGTGCATTGATTGTCATACATGCATGCACCCACACATATACATATACACAATCACCTATCACCTCGTTGGCCCAAGTTTGCTGCAACTGTTTTTCGCCCAAGGGCTCGAGGCATGTGGCATGCTCCATATCCTCTGCACACTGCTTCCCCTCCGCCCCGCTACCCGAACCCCCTTCCCTCGAACCCCCCGCAGCACGATGCGAACTACATCAAGCGGTACACCTTACAGAAATATGCGTATACGCGTCCCTCCTGCTGAAATATGGAGCACAAAAAGCAGCACCTCACTGCCCCCCCCCCCCCCTCCTAACAACAGAAAGGGAACTGTTCCTCCCCCATCAGCCCCCTTTTCGCTTGGCGGCGGCGCGCCCCAATGGGGGAAGGACAGAAAAGGGACGGGCGAGGAGAGGGTAGGAAGAAAAAGGCAATCAACAAGCTGGCCAAAGGGTAGCTCAGTTTGAAGGAGGCCGTGAGGCCCGACCAGAAGCTTCGCCTTAGGCGGAGCGCAGCTCCAGTTCTGTTGTACCGTAGCAACGATAGTCCCAGTCGGAGGAGGTCGTCGCGGGAACGGCGGGCCATCTCAAGCGAAGGATGTTTTCGGTCTCGATGGCAAGCAGTATGCCTCGCAATGCAGCGCAGTCACATGTTGGCGGCCGACCGCCTGGGCCCAAACGGCCACGGACAAACGCTCGCTATCTCTCGCCCTTGACCCAGCTCATTTTAAACTCGGGGGGGAGGGAGACGAAGCGTGAGTCCGCCACCCCTGATACAATCAACGCTATCTATACAAAAGGCACCAAAAGGCAGGTTCGTAAGGAGGGTGAACCCGCAACCAAGCGCCCTTGCGCGCAAGTTGCCTTGCGAGCAGTTCGCTGTATAAGCGAGCGCCACTCAGGCGGCCTCAGACGATGTTGTCTGGCCAACCCAGTACGGAATATGACGTGTTAAATCATGCTTGAAGGATCGCGTTCCTTCCATGACCTGTAAGAACATATCTCTGTCAATGCTCTCCTTTGTGTGACCGTCCGCGGTCATATCGCGAGTGTCACACCACTGGATACTGCGCGCGATTCCTCGCTCCATCATCTGTCGTACCCAACTGATGTGCCCTAAAAGAGTACACTCAGTCGGCGTCTTCCGGTCTTTGCTTGGCAAGGACTTGACGACATATTCAGCATCTGTGGTCAAAATAATCCTTTTACTGAGTTGGTGTCAGCGGCCCTGCGTGGAGTTCGTGCAGAGTAGCGATGGTGGGATCGCAGTCCTCCAAATTGCGGGTTGCTGCTAGTGTTCCTGCTGAATAGCTTGGGCGGAAGCGATGAGACTTGCAGACCGCACCGATCAACTGGACGACAGGCTTACCAATTGACGTGTTTCCACGCCGCAGCAGGCTTGCCACGCGAATACCGTAGCCTTCGACCTCGTCATCGGCATCTCCACTCAGGCGTCGATCGCTGGAGTCGCTATGCAGGTCAACTTCACCCGTTGGATGCATCGATCGATGGGCGATCTTCTTGGGGCAGGCCTGCAGATTCCTGGTAATCGCGCTCAGTCGTCGCACCTGTATATTGGTCGGTTCCTGGGCGCGTTGCAGAGAGACCACATATACCATCAACCACACATGTGTGATTAATGCGTAAACCAATGCGCCTCTGAGACTGAGTAACATGTCAGCGACCATATATGATGCTTTGGCGTCGGCGTCTGCGCCGGTGAGTTCAGGAAGTTGTATAAGACGGATCTGGTTGATATATTCGTCTCGTACCAGCGTAACATTGCCGTCCTTTGTGTATATCACAACGCAGTTTGTGTATGTGTTTTGTTAAGTTTACACTCTTATACGTACCTCGAAGTCATGGTGTTCATGTTGTTATGTACGAACTTCCACTTCTATACGTACCTCAAAAACATGAAGTTTGACGCCCCGGATATATCTCGCATCTGGAAACACTTGATGTCAAAACCATGTCTTGAGATCAATAGTTCGGGCCTTTGATACCTTAACTGGGTTCGCCAGAGTGTCGGCCTTCGTGGGGAGGTCGTCCTCCTTGACGACCGCAGCTCGTTTTGCGGCGGCGGCTAAATATGCTTGCATGGTGGCCACACGGTCGATGTCCAATATCATATGCAGTTGTTCGGACAGGGCTACCTTTGACATTTCTGCCGTAAAGCAAAATTTTATGTACTGACCATTTTGGTCCTAACCCAATCCGTAACTATGGTCTCCGTCAGTGAAACATAATGGGACATGATGCGTCTCCTCGATGTCGGAAACGCGTGGGCGACCCCGCGTGGGCAGGTGCCCCCGCTGTTCTGCAGCTGCCGTGACCGACGCACTGTTGTCAGTGATCACATGCGTGGATGATGTATAGGTCATCTGATGGAGTTGCCTCCAACAGTTCCCATTCTTCATGTAGCCCTGTGTGTCTCAAGGTCCGCCTCTGATTCCTCATGGGTCGTAAAGAGCCGTCCATCCTCCTGCGGCGGTTCGGCCCCCGAGGCTTCTCTGGCGTTGTTGCCCTGTGTCGGAGCGCCAGCCAGTTCCCCAAACTTCGCCATGTCTTGGTCGAGGCCTGATTGATGTTTAGTGGACTTTAGGCACTGAGTGATCCTCGAATGAGCCTGTTCAGCTATATCATATATATATATATGTATGCAGGGCAGCGCCTTCGGCTTCATAGTAGTGGGAGCATGGGTTCACGGCGTTGCCATAATGTACCAACGTGCAGCTGTCAGCATAAGCTACCAGAAATAGCAAGTGGATACTCTTCGCTAACCTGACAGAAATTACATTCCCGGCACGGAAAAGGTTGCTGCTAAGGCATTGTAAAGCTAAATGTACTTTAGGAGATAGTCGGCTCGCACTTGTCATCTGAAGCGTTCCCTTTTCTGGTCGGGACATAGCCAAACGTCATTGCAGGTCCCCCCGCAAGTAGACTGGCAACACTTGTCAACAATATCCGTAGCTTTGTATTGTCTGAACCAATCTCCCAGGCTGTCAAAGCATCGATGTATAGTGAATCTCGTGCGCCGCAGTATTGGACTTGTACAACGCGGCTTCCCACTCGAAGAATGACTCGACCCCGGTCGGGGTCGTTCCGTGCAACCGGGCAAGGGCCACTCCAGCCTCCCAAGTCGTCCTTCGTAGTCGTGGGGCGATGGTAGTCGACCAAGTCTCCTTGTCCGTGGTAGTGCTGACCAGTAATGGTTGTCTTGCTACGCAATGCGCGATTGGAATTGGCAACTGCAGTTGCTTGTGCGGTAGCTTCAATGCATGCCCGGCGAATCACCTGTTCTCGGGAATAATCAGCTGTCTCTGTCGGCTACTCATGGCCCAGAACAGGCAAGTCAGGAAGCCTTGCTTGACGCCGCCCAAACAGAACGTTGCATGGAGACACCTCATTGTGGAAGGTGAGCGCATAGGCGGCAAACAGAGCTTCATGCAGCCGCCGTGTGAATACAAGAGGTATGTCTAACCTTGTGAGTTCAGTTTCCACGACGCGACGTAAACTGCGAAATATGCCATTTCTGGTTTCAACAGCCGCAGCGCGTTGCCCACGCGCGCGCGTCCTCAACCCAGCACCTTTTGCCTTGATGACTGCCTTAGCAATGTCGTTATCAAGGGCGCCCTCCCCGTCGGAGTAGAGCGCCATGGCAGGTCCGAACTGCATCCAGCACCGATGATGCGCACCCGTGGTACTGGTAGTTGTTTTGTATCATCTCAATTCCAGTAACCGATCGCATACAACGATCAATAATGTGAAACATTATGTTCGTGCTGGTAGAACATCAGGTCGCATTCGACTTCTTCGCTAAATTTGCCAGGTAGTGCAGTAGACGGCATAACCGCCTGCCCTGGCTTATCCTAAGCCCTGCGCTACCGACGTGCGTCACAGACGCCTTTGACCAGGTTAGGCCTGGCGTTGTCCAAACCAGCTCTGGTTCAGATGAGCCTCATCTCAAGCGCTTTAGCCTGGAGCAATCGCAACGGCAATTTCCGCAACTCGCGTGTTACCGCGCATGGGTCAAGGCTTCGGAGGTAATGTAAACTGATTTGGACATCGAACCTTGACCCGTCTGGGAGTCGCGGGCGCGCAGCAAGGTCACCCGCGGGCGGCGGCGGTGGCGGTGGATCCCCCCCCCCTGCTGTCGGCCACGTCTGGCTCTGATCTGCGACAGTCGCCTGTGATCATCCGAGCTACCGGCTCCGCTCGAAGCAGGTTGCCCCGCAGCAGGTTCAGCAGCATGTCTGCCCAATGTAATATCGTAGCTGCTGGCGCCAGCTGTGGGGCCAGCCCTGGGGCCACGCCTTGGTGATCGTCGCCGCGCAAGTGGTGGTGCGGCCAATGCCTCGGGCGGTGGCGCTGCCCGTGTCGCAGGAGCCGGAAGTTCCTGTCCGCGGTCGTCGGGCAGCCTGCGCGACTTGGCAAACTTGCATTTGCCAGGTGCCCGTAGGTCACCAGGTTAGTTCTGGCCGTAGTTCTCCTTGCAGCTAGGACATTCCCAGTGGTAATCCTCCGCGTCGCACCACCTACAATGTTTGGGGTCTCTGTCATGTGAGGGGGGGATCCACGTTTACATTAACCTCACACGCAGGACATCCCATTCCCCCCGAGGGCGACCGCGTGGTCGAACCGTCGGGATGTTGAGGGCTAGTTCGGTCATCCAAGTCAAATCATCGCGCGTTGGCCACAAGAACGGAAGAGGAATAAGGATTACCAAGGAAAATATCACGGTTTACTGGGAATAGATCGCGTGCGATCTGGATTGCGTCGACAAAAGATTGCATCGTCGGGGCAGATTCTGCAGCCCGGGGTAAATCTTTATTGCGCACCGAGGCATGTTGATGATGGCCAGCACACCGCTTCCGTTCAACAAGTGCAAGTAGGAGACGGCGGTTAGCCATTATCTCAATAGGTTTCCGTATTAATACCCCATGGGA